TGTTAACGACGCCCCCAAATGTTCAAATTGCTGTAAATGTGGTCCATTGAAAGTGAAATTTACAGTGTGAACGAAGACTACATTTACACTCATTCAGACAATTGAAGGGTTACATTTACACACTTGAAAACAAAGGAATTACATTTCAATATCGGTACTACTTGGGAGATAAAATGCATGTGTGATTTTCTCTTTATTGTAATAGTGAGAAAACTCACATTGGCTTTGAGCAAATACATGAATGAAGAGTATGAGCATGACGATTATGTCAAGAAATGAAAACAATCAATTGAGAAATCATACATTGCATGAGGGGATTTCATTATTTGACATGTACATCAGTACATCTAATATCCAAATGTTTACGTCTATGAATAAATTTGGGAATTAAATCATGGCATAATGTACTAAAATTATTAATTTTTTGAAAGGAAAACAAATCATTTTAAAATTAGTTACAAATAAAAAAAATCATGAATTTTCAAAGGAACCCAAAAATAAATATTAATAAACGAAAAAAATCAACTTTTGGTCCCACAACTATTATGCCACTTTAATTAGGGATTTGAGATTGATGAAGGGGTTAATTATGATATAGGGTTAACTCTTGATGGTTTAATTGCATGATCTTTATTTAATTTGTGTTTGAATAATTTAATTGATATGTTTTGTAACATAGAATTGCAGCTAGAATTATAATTGCACATAGAATAAATTAAGAGAGGTCTAATTTATTCTTGGACACTGTCGAATGAGATTAGTAATGATTAGGCAGCCGTATGCTCATTCGTTTTGGCAATAATTTAGGAACTTGTCGCATGAGAGATCAGTCTGGTTCCCTAAATTATTGTAGTCTACGTCGCAAGAGCGGTAAGAACTTAACATTCATCAGCGTTGCTCAATTAATAATTTTCATGTGACTAAACCTGATCATTCCTGAAATCTGATTACCCCAGAATCAACCCTCGTTCCCTTTTGTCATTAATTAAAAAGAGCCTATTAATTTAGCTGCTTATTCGAATTTTAATTTTGCAAAAATCCAAATCTCGCACCATTACATTTATTTTTATTTATTTTAATCGCATAATTTATTTAATTACTTATTTTCTTTTTCCGCTCTTGCGGAGAAGATACTCGTACTTTAGCCATATAGTGCTACATATTTTTAGTAAGAGAAAACACACATAACGCACTTTTCGTGGAGAGAGATGGTGGTCACAGGCTGATGAACGAGAGTGGAGCACAAGAGAGAGGTAGGCAGGTTTGGTGGAAGGGCTTTTAGTCCATAAGACACACCCCAGTATCTTACCCCTGTCGTTTAAGAAGTTTTTAGCCATTAGCATAAGAAATTATTCTCGTACCCATAACTATTTTAAATGAAAAAAACCACTCTGGGTCTGCCACAGTTAGTTGCATCAGCCTTTCAGTTTTCCCATTGATGATATGGGTTTGAACGATGCTTTTGGTGATAACCTTCTTAATGATATCTGAAACAGTGGGATGGAAACTGCTGTTAACACAATTGCTTAAGTTATTTAGTTAGGTCTATAATCTGATTTTAATCACTGATGAGAGTTTTGTCATTGATAACCCTTTGGGCGTGCATCATATCAAAAGCTTGGAAATCGTAGACCATCATAGACAGCCCTGTCTTCGTGTCTTCCCTGAATTGGGCTTTAGAGATGAACTGAATCAGGTAGGGATGATTTGTGGTCTTTACCGTTTGGTAATTGTCTAGAACTAAAAAAAATCTTAGAGCATAGATGTTATGCAATCTGTGGTCTCTTGATTATTGCGTGAATCCGATCACCCTATTTTACACATTCAAATGTTAGCAACAAACGTTTTATCATGTAACATATAGTTTGTTAGAACGTATAAGTTGTACCTCGATGTCATGCAAAACAATCTCTAGAGTCTCCCCTCCCTTTGAGTGAGGAGGCACCTCATAAGCCCTTACAACCCTAACCTTCAGGTAGACTTGATGTGATCAATGTCCTTGATCATGGACCACATTCCTGTTGATGATGAACATATCATTGTTTAGATTAAAATCGAAATATGGAATTGCTTGTTTGTAGTGTGTCTAGACAACCCCCACTTGGGTATTTATAGTGGCTAGTTGGAGTATAGTTTGAGGCGATTGGGTATTAACCAAGGGATAAATACACATTCAATCTTTTTATTGGGATTTTGTCGTACAAAAATTTAATTGTAATCTAAAGATAGTACAATGCATTTAATGTTTGTGAGACTCAAGAATTACTTTGGGATTTTTTTGTGGCCTCTAAGATTTGAAGTACACTTTACTTCCTTTTTTTAATCATCGCAAAAGATTATTTTCGAAATGGTGGGAGATGTACGAAAATTAGTTTTATCATAGTACAATTCATTAAATATTTTTGTGGCTCAAGACTTCATGTGGATTTTATTTGTGATCTCCAAATTCAAAAGTACAAATTAGGTTATATTTTTATTCATAAAAGCAGCAAGCATGTGAACCGGAAGAGAGAAAGTTGTACTCCATGAGACTTTTCTCGAGCCACACAAGTGAAGCATTGGATATTGGGCCAACATTAAAGTTTTCATTGGGCTTCCACCAAACCCATCTGCATCATGGATAATCCGACCCGACCCGTTACTAGACAGTGTTTGGGCAGGAACACTGTACATTTTTTCTCCTGCTTTTGTATAATAGAAGATATTAGCAATGCTATTATTCTTGTCATTATTTCCAAAAAAGTCTCTAAAGTTCAAATTTAGGAGTAAATTTAGTTTATCCCTGTTGAATTTATATAAAAATATATTTAATAATATCACAAATAAATTAATGAATATATTAAGTTTGGGGACTGAAAAATAAAAAATAAAAAATAAAACATTCACTTCGTATTCAATGCTTCATTTTTTTTATCAACTTCATATTGTTGAAATAAAAGAAATATTATCAAACATTAACATATAATTACTGTTTTTGCCGCAAAGTATTAAAAAAGTGTAGAAAAAAAAAAAATCCATTTTGTTCAATGCTTCCTGTTATGTTAAAATTATTAAATTTTGATACGAAAGCAATAAGGAAGCTTGAACATAAAATAGTTTTTGAAAATTTTTATTTTTTATTTTCCAAACACAATTTATTCATTATTTTTTTGTTTTTAAATATATTCTATTTATTTATTTATTTGAAGTCAATAATGATAAATTTGGCACGTCTAGCTGAAAATATATTTTTATGAGTTTTTTTATAACTGTTACGGAGTAGCTTTTAGTGACTGAAAGGATCATAAAAAGAAAAAATGGTAATTGTGTGGTAAAAAACTGATTGTTTGATTTAGTTCTGATTGATGTACAAACTATTGAGACTAATTAATATTAAAGGCTACAAATTTGTCTGAGATGCTATTTGTTGTATGATCTAAAAAAAGATCATTTATTTTTAGAAAATCTCTTAAAATTTTCATTTCAAGCATACAACTAGAACTCTTAGGGTATGTTTGGCACAACTAGCTGAAAAGATACTTTTATGAGCTTTTCAGTAACTGTTAGCTTTTAGTGACTGAAAAGATCTTAAAAAGAAAAGGTGTTTGGTAAAAAGTTGACTGTTTGATTTAGCTCTGTTTGGTATACAAGCTGTTAAGACTGATTAATACCAGAAGCTACTGACTTATCTGAGATGCTACTCACTGTAGCATCTCAAAAAAGATTTTTTATTTTTACAAAAACTCTTAAAAATTAGCATGCCAAACACATAACTAGAAGTTTTTAAAGACTTTTTCAATATTACAAAAGCTAGAAGACAGAGACTTATGTCTGTCAAACATAGCCTTAATTAAAAAGCTAGAAGACTAAATGTCTGAATTAAAAAGGTCCAATTCAACTTGGAATTGGTGAAAAAAATTCAAATTTAAATATTTTACGGATCAACCCTGGACTACCTTCCACGTCACGCATTACGCGTAAACCAACGTTGAACAAACGAAATGTTCAATTAAATCTTTGAACCCGCTATAGTCGCTGAATTTTTTTCTTAACTAATAAAAAATATCAAAATTGTAATGAATCTAAAATAAAAAATAGAAGTCATAAGTTTAATAATTATAAAAAATATATAAATATAAATATAACTTTAAACAAAACACATTTAATACAAGTTACAAAAGTCAAATTCTCGATGTTCCTAACTAATTAACTTTGTCATAAGTTCATAATGATAATGCACCGGGTGTCAAATGTGTGCACAACTCACTGCGCAGTTATCTTCAAGAATTCATTTGAATGTCTTCCCGATTGAAGTTTTGGCTGAAATTTGATATGAGTAAACTAGACTTAATGAATACTCCCTCCGTATCTATTCACTTGTCACACTTTCCTTTTTTGGTGTATCAAATTAATTGTCTCCTTTCCTTTTTTGGAAAGAATCCCACTCAAAAAGTAGCTAGAGTACCACTACAGTACCGGTACAGTACCAAAAGCCTCTTACTTTTTATAAAGTATACAATAATTATCTTAAACTCCGTGAAAAGCAAACAGGTCATTTAATTAGATACAGAGGGAGTAATATGTTCAAAAAATTTAATCAAAAAATGCCATCGGGAACCGTCCCAAATGACGACGACCGGACAGAACCTCCTATATAAGGGCTTATTTGACCTTTTTATGTAAGTTCGAGGGTCTATCTGACCCTGATCCCAACAAAATAATATATAAAAATGAAATAGTAATAACTTCATTAGTTCATTCCATCCTCATTTCACTAGTTTCACGAATCACGAGTAATACAAAATCATTTCATCTAGTCGAAGAGTTTTAGTGCTAGATAATTTGGAAGATTTAGTGAAAAATATGGAGTACCTCAAATACACAGCAATCACTAAACCATACGGAGTACTTTTGAAATACAAACAATGGCTAAATCAACTAAATATAAATAAATCACAATAATAATTAGTGTAATACCACTACACTACAATACATACATGCAAAGTTTGGAATGCTTCACATATTAAGAAAGACTACTGGACCTCATATTTATATTTTCCCATTAAATAGATTGAGTGTTTAAGAAAGGTAGAAATTTACATCAAATTCAATTGAGTGTGTATAGGAGAAAATGGAAATAAATGTAATCAATGCAATGTTTGAAGTAAATAGAAATAATAGCAAAAGCAAAATCTTGTTGAGGGAGCCTTTTGCTGTTCCATTGTGTTTAGACCCATCTTATAGGCAGGTCATCTGAGATAGACATCGCAAATCCTTTCTAACTCCCCAACAAAGCAAATAATATTTTCACTCTTACCCCAATATTTCACTTCACTTTAAACGCCGATACATACACACTTTAACCCATTTCATTAATTTACCTCGAGCAGATCATTTTGTACCCAAAGGTAAAGGATTAATGGTAGCCGAGAAGGCTATTGATTTTGACTCCTAATAAATAAATGTTGGATGAGATGCATCTGATTTTGAAAGATAGGTGGTTGGCCTAGCTTAACAAGCATTACATTCTTCTGTACCTGGATGAGGTGGATCAACCGTTTGCCCAAATATATCGGGGATTCCTTCCCAGTTATGTTTCTCTCTCGCTTCCCAATATCCACCAACATACTGGTAATGTCCATCATCGTCTTTGCGGAACCATCGTGGTTGCCACCCCCTTTCTTGTAATTTCCTAGCCTGCGCCAATTATCCCGCAATCGTTTATCAGGTTGTTCAAGATCAAGCATCATAAGCAAGTAAGCAGCAGTGTTTAACGTAAAGTTTCCATATAGCCGCCCCAAGGACTCGAGTCAGCTAATTGAAGTTTGTTCCTAGGTTCTATTGGTTGTTTCCAGTTCCTTAAAAAATTTAAAAAATGTATTCTGCTTTTTTGTCAACAGAAAAAAAATCTTTCCATGATTAGTTGAACTTCTTCAGCAAAATGAGAAGGCTTTTGAAAAGAAGAGAAGAGGACATTTTCTACAGCAGTTTCAATTTTAAATTTTTCTGTAGCTTAAACATTAAGATACTTGGAACAAACATTTTTTCTTGAAAAACATTTTCTAATAGCCTGCTTGGACCTAAGGATACGATAGAGAAAGAAAATATGAAGCAAATATTGGAAGGATGTAAAATCCAGGAGAAAAAGACGAATGGCTTAAGACTAAATTAATTTAGATATTTGTTCAAACTCATATATGTATACAATATAAAGACAAAACTCTAAATATAAGCAAAATTTAAAATGTTTTAAATCAATTAATTTTTCCTTTGTAACTCTATTATCTAATGTGAAATCAAGCATTGAAAAACCATTTTCCTTCGGGGCCTTCTCATGTCCATAGAATTTTTCGAGTTCAAAACACAGCTTAAATGAAACATTTTCCACAGAAAGCAATTCTTACAACTCGTATTCCTGTAATCAAACTAATCCTATCACTACAACTTGAGACTTAAGAGTAAACACAGTACCTGTCGCTGTAAATGTTCAAGTCTGAGCTTCTCTGAATTGGACAGCTCATATTCCCCGTTTTCCAAGTGTCGCTGATCTGGTCTAAGCCTTGAATCAGTTGGTGGAAGTCTTTCCCGCAAACCAGGTGTCAACTCATTTAATGAAATTGCAAAAGGTGTGAGATTGTATCTGGTCTTTGTTAGAGTCTTGTCCCTTTCCCATAACAATATTGCATCGGCCATTGGATCATACCCCTTAGGTTTTGTAGTTGGATCCCCCAATACATAATACATTGCTTCGTCCCATTTCCCCAATAACATTGCGACCTTCTCCCCGGTTTTATTGTCTTGCACAAATCCATGTACCTTTTGGTTTCCAACAATAAAAAAGGTTTGCAATTTGTAAAATACTAGAGAGAAGATGTGAAGAAAAAATATAGAGGAAAATTAGAAGGAAAGCAAATGAGAGATGAAAGAAAAGATAGGCTAACACTATCAATTTATACTAGCTATTTGTGATCACTCTTGAATTATTCAAGTCCATTATATGAAGAAGATTTTTTAGATATATTAAAAAAGTAACACCCATGTTCCATCTCCCTTGCATTTTCTAGAGCAAAACTAAGCATGATAGTAGCTTCCATATGCATTTTCTTTGCAAAATTAAACACGAGATCCAAACATAGCCTAAAATTTCAAATCTACAGTACCAAACAGTTATTTTGTTTAGATTCAATGAGAGCATGGAGTTTGAGTTGCAGAAATCACCTGGTGACGATTTCGGTCAATAATAGACTGCTCCTTGAACTTGAGCATGCAGGAATATTTACCACTGCCTTGGATGCGCATAGTGCCATAATGGTCACAATAGATTTTACCAATTATAATATTATAAATTGAAGTGGTGACCTTGCTCCATCTAAATGTCTCACCGCCTTCAAATTGTAAGGTCAGAAGCCCTACTGGATCAAGCTGAATTGAACGGCCCCAAAACTTGCCTTTGAGATTAGTATCTGCCCAGCATTTCCACCCTCTTCCCTCACAATGACAAGCAACAACCATAGGATGATGACTCACCTACACAAATATACAACTTGTTAAACAAAAAGGAATTATGTCATTTGGTAGAACTTGTATTTCTACTTCCATTTTCGTTTTCCTAAAACAAAACACGGAAACATGTTTCATGTAGTGTTTTTGTTTTCAGTTTCTGATAAAAAAAGCATTTTGAAATATATTGGCAGCAGAAATACTTCTTGTATTCAACAGATAAGCAAAACTCTTGAAACTAAAACTGAAAGAAAAACCGAAACTAAAACATCATGGAATGTTACCAAACAATACCTTTTCAGAAAAGAACTTCAGACCTTTATCTGGATACTCGGCCTCATAGGTTTCCCCGAGTAGAGGATTGAAGGGTTTGCATTGTCGCCCTTCAGTAGATGCATACCCAGAAACAGCAAAAGCAGCAACATTTAGAATTCTCATCAAATCGTTGCCCTAAAGGGAGAACAAAGAGCACGCCATAAGTTAGTTTGGTTATGTAGCTACTACTTGTTATTAATAGAGTAATTGGGAAAAAAATGTGCCAGACTGCCAGTGCTTAGAAACTGACCTGCTTTCCCCACTCAAATGCCTGGTCAACCAAGTGTGAGTATTCTAAATCTTCAAAGCATTTCTGCAATGAGGAAAGTGGTTCATTGAAGTAGACCGGGAGACACACACCAGACAAGTCTTTCCCTATATTATCCTTGATGATGGCCCATAAGCCAATTGGCTTCTCTTTTTCCTTCGGTTCTGGAAGACTATACCTTCTCTTGACATAAGGATATTTGATGGTCTTTATTTCCATTCCAACTTCTCTAATTCGACCAGAACTGAAAGACTCGTCTTCATTTGTCAAAGACAGACGGGCATCCCTACTGCGACAAGAAGCACTTCTCAAAGCTTCAGAAGAAAGAAAATCATTTGTGTCAAAAAATGTGATCTCCTCTTCGTCTGTTTCAAGATCTACACCATAACGGCTTTCATTGTCAGCATCTGAGTCAGTCGCACTGCCCTCTGACATGATGGAATAGAAATCTGCAGCACCAGAAAGATGAGAAGGGAAATCATGAATCGGAACAGACCAACTTTTCATTTTCAAAGACCAGTTCAGTCACAATGAAAGTGCTATCATGCTTAGAATGTCAAAAAATATCACTCTAAGCATCTTCAAGAAAATTTCCATGGAAAGACCTTTAGGGTTCGTATGAAACCCGGAAAATGGTATAAAAACAAAACAGGAAGAAATTTGAAAGCAAAAAACTTGTGGGGAAAAGTACAAGACATGATCAAACTCAACAGATCTATTTTAGATATTTGTTTAATTTCAATTTATTTATATATACATACTATAGAAAGACTATGAAATCTAAAAAAATATGTAAAAATTTAAATATCTTTAATCATATTCTTTTTCACTTTGCATTTCACAAAATAGATAAAAAAACACAAGGAAATAACTTTCTTTGGCATTTTTTCATTTCTTTACAATTTTCTGCGACTCATACATACCCTAAATTTAAAAAAACTGCTTGTAAAGTGAGTTCTATTACCCCTGGCAGAAAGAGTTAACGAATGCATACACTTCACCATCAAGGAAAACATGCTAATCCAAAAAAAACGGACATTATTGAACCATTAATCCCTTATTAGCTATTTAAGTAGGAGAAACAAACCACTAAATCTTCTGTTCGCTTGTCCTGAACATGAGTCTCGCCCTTTTGTTTCGTCAACAACGGTTGTTTCCAACTCGATTTTTTCTGCCTGCAAGTGAGATGAACAAATCAAAACCTCATTCCAGTCCTTTTTTTTCAAGTTTCAACTCCTGAAATCAATATGTATGTTATGCATTCGGATATATGCATCATGCGCATGGCTACTGGCTACATTCAAATGAAGAAATGGACATTTCTCTATTACACAATGAGCTTTTTCAAATAAAAATGATCATCTACAATAATGAAATGGGTTTTGCAGTGTTTGAAAAAAGGGCAGGGAAAATAATTACAATCGTGATGAAATGAAAATTCTTTAGTTACGGAATGCGCAAATGTTAAAAAAAATAAAAAATTATCCAGATATGAAACTACATCCTGGGGTATCATATAATTTGCCCCACACAATATCTTAAGTACCAACTTCAAACAAAAGAACATAGCCACTAAAGTATGGAAAAGTATCCTACTGTCATAGCAGCTCATAGATTGAAGAACATCATCATAAATCTAGAGGCAGTACAATTACTCGGCATTGGTTTTTCCATTTGGTAACAAAATACGCTCGTTTGTTAGACAAAAGAACATGGTTTTTCATTTTAGCAAATTCAGCCAACTCAACAATATAAGATGACTAACTCTTACCAAATGGGCTCATAGTGATTTCAAGAAAACTGTATTTCGGCGACACAGTTACTATAAATCTATTGGGTACATTGTAGTCAATGGCTAGATATGGTGCGCTCCATATGCGCCATCGCCATGAAAAAGTGGACATCGCCATAGCACCATATGCGCCATTCGTATATGCGCCATCACCATGCGCCATGAAAAATGCCTTTGAGCCATGGCGATCGCCATGCGCCATGACAACTATGATCGGGCACCATATCTCCACATTAGAAATAAAGAGTTAACATATGTTTCTTTTCTTCAAGATCAGATAGTATATGCTTGAAATTACATGTCTAATGGACCCTCTTAAAAGAAGAGGTTTGTAAATATCAGAATTACCTCTAACTGTCTCAATGTTTCTAGCAACATCATGTGTTTAAGTTGAAGGCCCTTTAACTTGTGTTGCAGCTCACCAAGCTCACTTTCCACTATATCCTCACAATCTTTTATCACAGTCTCAGCAATTCCTTCTTGCACCATCCTAGCACGTAGCTTCTCAGTTGAAACAACGAAATCTTCAGAAGGCGCAAAATCTCCACTTGTCAAAACCCTTGGAAATTGATCTTTAGCAACCAAAAGAGCTTCAATCCAAGTTGTTCTGTCCTCTCTTGATAGACAGCGCAAATGGAGTGTCTTCATCCCTGTGAATATAGATAGCCTTTTGTCATCTGATTTGCTAGCCTGAACTGATGAAACCTGTCCATATACAGAAAATCAAATAACTACATGCAATAACTAATACTCCCTAATAACTTTTTTGGGAACATACAGATTCAGCTGTTTTAAGAAGATTCCACTGTTTTGGTAAATTTAACTAATCATGCTTCTGAGCGTTCTACTTTCTGAGAACTTATGTGCGTAAGTTCTCATGCTTTTTAGAAGTTAGAATTGGTAGCTTATGATTATTTTACAATTGCTTCTTTCCTTTTTCAGTGGTTTCAGTACTAACTTACCTTGTAAACCTTTTTTGTAGATTCCAGACACATTTAATTATTCCCAAGCCACTTTTCATTAAACTTACCAAAACAAAAATTGATTCTCCTAATTCTCCTTATAATGATATAACCTATCATAATCGTCCAAGCAAAAAAATCCAATTTTTCAGCTATGACAAACACAGTTTCAGTATGGCAGTTATGGCTTCAACGGAATCAGACCACAATGAGAAATTAGATATACAAAGTTCAGAAAGTAAATGAATATAAGTAATTAAAAAAACAGAGAACGGACCTTCAAATGAATTTCCCCAAATGGTTTTCCCTGCTTTGAAGATCCAGAAAGCTTATGATTACTACCATTGGGTTTCCTCATATATCTCCAAGATTCATCCCCAATCACCTTGAGACCTTTTTCTCTGGCCAGACTAATGACGATCTTATTAGGTCCGTGAACCTTGTAGTATGACAAAACTCCATCTTCTAACACAAACCACCTTGCTCTCCAACCCTTCCCGTAATTCACCCACTTGTACAACACCCCTGCCAAACACACTCCTTCATTCCCATTGGTGTACACCTTTGCTTCAACCGCCACATTGTCTTCCGAGTCATGGCAAACCGTCGTTTCCGTTTGGCTAGCACTCAAAGAAAGACATTGTGCACTGGAAAAGCTCTGTTTCGAAGCTAAACCAACAGGTCTCACAGATGCCGCATTCTCAAACCCTTTTGAACTATTGGATTGCGAGTGTGGAGGCCTCACCCCCGTCGGATTCCCCCGATCCTCCTCAATCGACACGGGAGCAATGCAGCACAGTGGATTCATCTACACAGCCAGAAACCAAACTTCTATCTGAATTCTGAATCCACAACTCCGCAAGGACAAGCGAAAGACAGAAACAGGTAACGAAACCCGGCGAATCAACGCATTTCAGTGTTACTACGCTCCCCCAATATCACCGATCTCGCTCGCGGGACAAAAACTCGACGCCTCCGATTTGATTTCTGCCGGCGAAGCCCGATTGGAGATCAATTAAGATGGCGATACTTCCCAAACTGTCTTGATGTGACATAAGATCGAGGCTGGAATCGTGACAGCAACAATGTATTTATTTTGCGCAAAGCATCTAAGAAAGCGCAATTAAGTGAAAAGCAGTGTGTATTGACTACGAACAGTAGAGTATAGCAGACAGGTAAAGGTATATAGATACAGTGTGTGAATTCAAAGACAGGACGAGAAATGATGAGATTAAAGTGAAGCAGAGCAGACGCCGCAGAGATCTCTAAATTAAATTCAATGGACGCATCAGTGAAAGAAAGCGGAGTGGAGCGTCAGGGAGGGAGGCGCAGAGTAGATGAGGTGGCGTAAGATAGGCAGTGGAAGAGGTGCAGTAAATGCATGGGGCTTTTCGTTTGGACTGGAGCGATCGAATAATGATGGTACAGACAGCTAATGTGCGCAGGGGCCCTGACAAAGGATATTGTCCGGCGGGTGCGGTGGTGAGCGATGGCCGGGAAATTCACTCATGGTGGTTGGGTCATTTTACCGGCGTTTACTCTGTTTGGCCGCCTAAAAATAAAAAACTTCTTTCCTTAGATAATCTAGAGATGATATATGCTTATGACACCCGTCTTTCCTTTTTGTTTGTTTGTAATTTCTTTTTAGTTTTGTCTAACTTACTAATGTTCTTTATTAACGGTCTTATATTTCCTTTTGGGACGATTTTAGTTACTTGTCCCTCTTTCTCTTTTTGTTAAATTTTTATCAAATAAAATATCTTTATAATCCTTCTTTTATTATCATTACTCATTTCTCTTTTTAACTTTTTCATTTATCCACAATTTACTACCTCTTTTACATTATCTCTATTATTTTTTTCTTAAAACTCGTGTGAAAACCTAAGACGACAAATAATAAAGAATTATTTAATTTGCCAAATTTTTACACTATTGTAGTTTTGTACTCTGACCAACTAGTGAGTTGTGCACACATTTGACACCCGGTGCATAATCATTATGAACTTATGACAAAGTTAATTAGTTAGGAACATCGAGAATTTGACTTTTGTAACTTGTATTAAATGTGTTTTGTTTAAAGTTATATTTATATTTATATATTTTTTATAATTATTAAACTTATGACTTCTATTTTTTATTTTAGATTCATTACAATTTTGATATTTTTTATTAGTTAAGAAAAAAATTCAGCGACTATAGCGGGTTCAAAGATTTAATTGAACATTTCGTTTGTTCAACGTTGGTTTACGCGTAATGCGTGACGTGGAAGGTAGTCCAGGGTTGATCCGTAAAATATTTAAATTTGAATTTTTTTCACCAATTCCAAGTTGAATTGGACCTTTTTAATTCAGACATTTAGTCTTCTAGCTTTTTAATTAAGGCTATGTTTGACAGACATAAGTCTCTGTCTTCTAGCTTTTGTAATATTGAAAAAGTCTTTAAAAACTTCTAGTTATGTGTTTGGCATGCTAATTTTTAAGAGTTTTTGTAAAAATAAAAAATCTTTTTTGAGATGCTACAGTGAGTAGCATCTCAGATAAGTCAGTAGCTTCTGGTATTAATCAGTCTTAACAGCTTGTATACCAAACAGAGCTAAATCAAACAGTCAGCTTTTTACCAAACACCTTTTCTTTTTAAGATCTTTTCAGTCACTAAAAGCTAACAGTTACTGAAAAGCTCATAAAAGTATCTTTTCAGCTAGTTGTGCCAAACATACCCTAAGAGTTCTAGTTGTATGCTTGAAATGAAAATTTTAAGAGATTTTCTAAAAATAAATGATCTTTTTTTAGATCATACAACAAATAGCATCTCAGACAAATTTGTAGCCTTTAATATTAATTAGTCTCAATAGTTTGTACATCAATCAGAACTAAATCAAACAATCAGTTTTTTACCACACAATTACCATTTTTTCTTTTTATGATCCTTTCAGTCACTAAAAGCTACTCCGTAACAGTTATAAAAAAACTCATAAAAATATATTTTCAGCTAGACGTGCCAAATTTATCATTATTGACTTCAAATAAATAAATAAATAGAATATATTTAAAAACAAAAAAATAATGAATAAATTGTGTTTGGAAAATAAAAAATAAAAATTTTCAAAAACTATTTTATGTTCAAGCTTCCTTATTGCTTTCGTATCAAAATTTAATAATTTTAACATAACAGGAAGCATTGAACAAAATGGATTTTTTTTATTTTTTATTTTTTCTACACTTTTTTAATACTTTGCTGCAAAAACAGTAATTAGATGTTAATGTTTGATAATATTTCTTTTATTTCAACAATATGAAGTTGATAAAAAAATGAAGCATTGAATACGAAGTGAATGTTTTATTTTTTATTTTTTATTTTTCAGTCCCCAAACTTAATATATTCATTAATTTATTTGTGATATTATTAAATATATTTTTATATAAATTCAACAGGGATAAACTAAATTTACTCCTAAATTTGAACTTTAGAGACTTTTTTGGAAATAATGACAAGAATAATAGCATTGCTAATATCTTCTATTATACAAAAACAGGATAAAAAATGTACAGTGTTCCTGCCCAAACACTGTCTAGTAACGGGTCGGGTCGGATTATCCATGATGAAGATGGGTCTGGTGGAAGCCCAATGAAAACTTTAATGTTGGCCCAATATCCAATGCTTCACTTGTGTGGCTCGAGAAAAGTCTCATGGAGTACAACTTTCTCTCTCTTCCGGTTCACATGCTTGCTGCTTTTATGAATAAAAATATAACCTAATTTGTACTTTTGAATTTGGAGATCACAAATAAAATCCACATGAAGTCTTGAGCCACAAAAATATTTAATGAATTGTACTATGATAAAACTAATTTTCGTACATCTCCCATCATTTCGAAAATAATCTTTTGCGATGATTAAAAAAAGGAAGTAAAGTGTACTTCAAATCTTAGAGGCCACAAAAAAATCCCAAAGTAATTCTTGAGTCGCACAAACATTGAATGCATTGTACTATCTTTAGATTACAATTAAATTTTTGTACGACAAAATCCCAATAAAAAGATTGAATGTGTATTTATCCCTTGGTTAATACCCAATCGCCTCAAACTATACTCCAACTAGCCACTTTAAATACCCAAGTGGGGGTTGTCTAGACACACTACAAACAAGCAATTCCATATTTTGATTTTAATCTAAACAATGATATGTTCATCATCAACAGGAATGTGGTCCATGATCAAGGACATTGATCACATCAAGTCTACCTGGGCACTGAAGGTTAGGGTTGTAAGGGCTTATGAGGTGCCTCCTCACTCAAAGGGAGGGGAGACTCACTACAAGAAAATAAGTTATTTACCCACACTCGTATGTGTTGGTAAAACAGTAGATGTGTGTGGGTAATAATCTTTACCCACACATATTATAAGTGTTACGATGTGTGGGTACGGAAACGTAGACAAATGCTATTAGCTACACTTCCAATTATGTGTGGGTAATATTATTATTTATAGCTACACATGTATGCGTAGCTAAAACACTTCTAAATGTGTTGTTGTTGGTCATTTCACCAAATAACCCGTGACATGGCATATGACGTGGAAGTACACGTGGCTGATGACGTGGCTTGTGACGTGGCAATTCAGGTGTGACGTGGATAATGACGTGGCATAACTGATGACTCTTAGCCGTTGCCACGTGGACATAAAGTTGTGTGGGTAAAAGTTATGTGTATGTGTGGGTAAATTGTATTTTAAAAGTGGGTAATAAAAGTGGGTAAAACTATTTCATTAAATATTATATTTATTTATTAAATACACATATCAAACAATTACATTTTGTAATAGCCTAATAGGAACACGGGAATGGATAATATATTATAACGATAAATGTCATAGTTCAAACTAAAATATTCAATTTCAGCAAAGTATTAGCTAATCAAAAATTGCCAAACAAAATAAAACATTAACTAGCTGCTGCCACACTACAAAGTATTAAGTCTAATATGAATTTTGCTTCTAAACAATATTATCATATTCAGAAGTGGAGTCCTCAAAACCGTCAACATGCTGGCCTCGATCAATAGAGGATGACCCACGATTAAGCGGTACTGAACAATGATCTGAAGGAACATGTGACATGGGAGGCATAATATTCTTCTCAATCAACAACTTTTTCATCATTTCAACAGTGCCTGAAAGTTCTCCAACACGATCCATCAATTGAGTATAAGTTGGAATATTTGAATCACCTTTGCTTCTTTTGGACCCAGTGGGAGACCGTCCCCAACCAAATAGACGAACAGATTCTCGTCCAAGCACCTTCTCTAATATTTGTTTATCAGTTAAATCTTCAGGTGATTTTTCTCTTCTAAATTCCATCATTTCTTCCTGTTAAATTATGAATGGAATAGTAACAATTCATTAATCAGGTAAACTGTGAACATCAGAACATGCATGTATATATGTCAATAATGTAAAACTAATTAATTTGAATAAAAGATGTTGTGGTTAACACACACGGTCTGTGAAGTACACTTACATATTTAGATTCAGCTTCTACAGATACCCAACCACGTTCTGGATGCCAATGACGTAGACGCCACGTCTCAATATGACCAACATGAGCATTTAACTCAACCCCACGACTAATGTGATGGCGTGCTGTACTTTTAGATCCGTTTCTAGAAATCCATTTTCTTTTCTTACATGACTCAGCATTCTTCAAAGCTTTTTGCTATAAAATAAACACAAGTAATGATTATAAATATCAACAATAATGTATAAATGATGCATCCTGCTGTTTTTCTCAAAATAAACTACGAAACATGCTATAGCAAAGAAACTCATATTCACTACGTTTACTACTACAGTAAGCTTTAAGACTTAAATATACTTTTTTTTAAAAAATTAAAATTCATTAACGTCAGCATATCTTTAGGTATAAAACATCTTACCAGATATGAAGGGTCGCTCCAACAATTACATAGATATTCCCAATCCGATTCGCTAACACCCTCATAAGGCTTACCCTTTGCCTTCGTCAGATCACCTGCACCTCCAACTGTTTTAAAATGTTCACGTAACGTACGTCTATAGTTATGCCAAGCTCTTTGCATTTGTTTATCAATAGCTTTTCTGACATTTGCATCTGCCAAATCAACATCAAATAATGTCTGCATAACAAAGAGAATAATAAGTATGATTAATGGTTATATGAAACTTAGAGTGGAAGATGATGATAGTAGAGGTATAATGTTATGATCTAGAATTAATATAAATCAAATAACCTTATTTTGAAATCTATGGAGGAGGGAGAATATTTTATGTGATCCTATGCTTCACATCCTACGCTATTTGAATAATAATAATCAAACTACAAGAAGTTTGTAGTGTGAGTCTTCATGTATACTTACTCGAAGTTTGTCACGAAGTGGTGCTCTTTCTTCTTCAGGTACAAACCTCCATTCTTTGTACTTAAGGTCGCAATACGTACGCAGGATATATCCAACTTCATTATTGAAAACCTCTGTGTTGTCACATATTCCTTGCATAAGGTCAAAGTCAAACTTTACCGTCAATCGTGATTTAGCACTCCTCATTGCTTTCCGGGCACCTTTACTGCATGTTATTCCACGCACATTTGAACCTTGTTCTGCGGATTCATTATTGGCAGATGAAACTTGAGTGCCGCTTTGAGTTTGGTCTGTAAATAAAATTATATTAGATTTAAATTACAATCTAACAATCTAAAGTCTTATTTTTTGTCTAGGAGAATGTAAAAGTCCATTAACTTTCGTTTTCTATTTTTTATTCTGCATAAATATTTCCATAAAAATCCAGTTTCTATTTTCAAGACATTAAGTATTTCAGTTTTTAATTTTCTTTTCATAACTTCAGTTCTTCATTGGGAAAATTAAAAAGCCTTTGAGATTTATTGCTTGTAACACAACTGATTTACCAAAAACTATATGCTATTAAGTTATATCACATGCCATTGAGTTCACAAAAAAACTAAATATAAAGATGTAAATATCAAACAAAACAAAGGATTGAAACTCGAGTGTCTCTTAGAGAATGAGCTATTTAATTACATTCTAAGGAATATTCAAATATTAAAATAAAGGATTGAAATAAACATTTTTATGTTAGAGATAAAACAATTCTAAACCAAAATGCTAGATTTTTTATATGTATAAAACTTCGAGAATTAACATCTAGAAGATATATAACAAATGTTGTTAATTAATAGGTGCAATATTTACTTAACAAATGAATAATTGCGAGTTATTGATATAACTAATTTAACCTGCTTGAATCCCTTCTCTTGCAGAATCATGTGCAATTGGATTACAGCTACGTCCACCTCTTGTTGAAACTCGAGCATCTCCTAGAGAATGAGCTGTTTAATTACCTTATAAGGAACATTGAATTATTAAAATAAAGTATTGATATAAATTTTTTTGATGTTGGAGATAAGTACTTATATCTTGAATCAATAATTACTTTGAGGCAACCACAGTAATCTTGTTATTCTAAATCATGCAACCAAAAGAAATTATCTTTTTAAATAATCCAAGAGAGTAAATGTACAGTTGATAGTTATTGATATAACTGACCCGTTTGAAACTCTTCTGATGCAGATCTATGTCCTATTGGATTCCTCCTACACCCACCTCTTGTTGAAACTTGAGTGTCTCTTAGGGAATGAACTATATATTTTGAAAATTAACTCATGAGAGATAAATAACAAATGTTATTAATTAATAGAAACACTGATTTACTTAACCTGCTCGAAGCTCTTCAGTAGCATGTTGATCTTCAACAGAAATCCTACTACGTCCAACTTGTGCACGATATCCTCCTCTTTTAGAACTAGCCATGGGAAACCTGCAACAAAGATTCAACAAAGAATTAAAATCATGCCACAGTGAAACTATGATATATACATATGAATAAGTTCAAACAAAAATAACCTAAGACTAAATTTATGTCATGCCATTGGGTCTACATCTTGTCGAACTAAAAGAGGTGTGTCATCAATTTCTTCTATTGGATGAAAAGATGGTAACTCACTAGCATCTTCCTCTTGAAATATGTCATCACTAGCATCCACATTAGCATCATGCTCTGGTATATCATATATGCAACGATGATTTACTTTTTGTACAACCATCCAATTCTTGCCCAAAGCTTTATCGTCTAAATAAAACACTTGTCGAGCTTGTGTGGCCAAAATAAATGGATCTTCGGTGTACCACTGGGATGATGTGTCAACAGATGTCAGTTTATAATTAACCACCATTGTTCTCCCCTTTGGATCAGTATTATACCACTTGCAACGGAACATGAAAACCTTCCTTCCAAGGATGAAATCAAGTTCTAAAATTTCAAGTAATACACCATAATAAATGGTATCACAATTATCATCTCCGGTGCATACTCCACTACATTGTGTCTTGAACTTGTCATCACGTTCTTTGCATCGAAATCTAACACCATTGACTATACAACTTTGCCAAATTGTGTAACGATCATCCGGTAATTGCGATAAGGAATACAAATCATCACTAGCTACCGGATCACCATTTACTCTAAGTATAGCCATCTGAAAACCGAATATTAAAATTATAAATTGTTAAAATTAAAAAAAAAGTTGATTTATACTTATATACTTAATATATAGGTTTTACCTTTTTCTTGAACCAAGCAGGAAATTCACGTTTGTGAATATTGTCCCATTCTTGTGCACGTGAGCTTGTCAAGCAAATAAGTTCCTTATGCTCTCTAAAGTGAAAAATAAATTACTTATAATATCAAATAAATTAAAAATAACTAGAAAGGAAATTATAATGGAAAACTCACTTTATGTAATCATCGAGCTCACTTCCACAATTGTTAAGAAGGTACCATTGCACCACATTCCCATCTAATCCTAGATTTCCAAATTTAGGAGCTCCAAGTGTTCGTATTTTGTGGTTAAACACGTCCATCTTATAGTCTTCACTAGAGAGGTCCCAATTGCGCTCTGGGCGTGTAAATCTTGTTTCAATATCAGTTAAATATCGAGATAAGAATGTAATAGCCTCATCGACCACGTAAGCTTCAGCAATAGATCCATCAGGCCGAGCATAATTACGCACATATCCCTTATAAGTACCCATGCGCCGTTCAATTCCAAACATCCATCTAGGAGGAGCTGGACCACCCAATAATGCTTGTTCTGGTAAATGCACGCACAGGTGAACCATGATTGTAAAAAAGGACATCGGAAAAATTTGTTCAAGTTTACACAATATGATCACAATCCCAATTTTCATGTCCTCAAGTTCGCTAACATATAAGGTTTTTGCGCATAACTTTTGAAAGAATTGACAGAACTCTATTAGTGTGATACGTATTTTCCTATCGAGGAATGCAAGAATCGCCACTGGCAATATCTTTTGAAGCAATACATGACAATCATGAGTTTTCATTCCTCCAAGTGTATTTGCATCTGTGACACATCGACTAATATTGGAAGCGTAACCATCTGGAAGGCGAACAGACTTGATAAACTTGCAAAACTCCTTACAATCATCTTTAGTCAAGGTATATTTTGCATGTGGTTTTTCAAATTTACCATTTCGTTCCCTCAACCACAACTCCTTGCGAATGTTATGATCTTCCAAGTCAAGACGTGCGTTCAAAGTATCTTTTGACTTTAGAGGATCATTCAATAAGGTCCCGACAATATTATCGCATACATTCTTTTCTATATGCATTACATCAAGATTATGGCGCATCAACAATTTCGACCAATAAGGGAGTTCAAACAAGATGCTCTTTTTGGCCCAATTCAATTCATTAGCACTACGTTTGCGTTTCTTATCTTTATTGTTCGTAGCTTTTCCAGGTGTTGCATTATGAACCTCCTTTAGCTGTTGTAAAATGTCATCTCCAGAAAATTCTCGAGGCGGTCCTCTTCTCTCTGGCTTGCCATCAAATCCCCTATTCTTTCTCCAGCTATGTGTATCACTTAAAAAGCATCGATGCCCTGTATAGCATTGTTTTCCTCGAATTCGTTTCCATCTGGTGTCCTTGAGGCATACAGGACACACCATTCTTCCCATAGTGCTCCATCCAGACAAGTAAGCATAAGCGGGGAAGTCACTTACAGTCCATAGAATTGCTGCCCGGAGAGTAAAATTTGATTTAGAATACTCATCATATGCTTCAACCCCATCTGTCCATAAAATTTTAAGTTCATCTACAAGAGGCCTTAGAAACACATCAAAATCCTTACCAGGCGACTTAGGACCAAGAATTAATAATGCTAAAAGATAGTTACTTTTATGCATCATACTCCAAGGCGGCATATTATAAGGCATCAAAATTACTGGCCACAAACTATGTGATGTTTACATATTACTAAATGGGTTAAACCCATCAGAGGCCAACCCCATTCTAACATTTCTTGAGTCTGCAACAAAATCCGAATATAACTCATCAAAGTGCTTCCAAGCCTTCCCATCAGCCGGATGACGCAGAACTCCTGGCTCTTCCTTGCGCACTTCTTTATGCCAGCGCATGTCTCTTGCCGTGTGACGCGAAGCATACAGACGTTTAAGTCGAGGTCCCACCGGGAAATACCGCAACCTCTTATGTGGAATATTATTACGAACATATCGATTACATTTACATATAGGACATGTGACATCATTCTTATGATCACCATAGAACAACACACAATCGTATTTGCAAACATCAATAAGTTCGTAACCTAAACCCACGTCACAAAGTAGCTTCCTAGTTTCGTAATAGCTTTGTGGACAATTATTGCTTGGTGGGAGCACTTCACGTAGTAGCTTCAACAACATTTCAAAGGAACCATCACTCCACTTATTCATCACCTTTATATTCATCAATTTTACCACGAATGTCAATACAGAGGATGTATGACATCCTACAAATAACGGGGTATCCAGAGCTTCATATAGTTTTTCATAATGAGAATTTTCTGCTGTGGGTTGCTGATTTGTAAGAAATTCAGTGGTATCCCCAATATCAAAATATTGATTACCAAATGCATCATGCAGCCCTGCTCTCAACCCATCAAATTCATCATTTTCAAACTCTTCATTACCCGCACCTTCATCATCAGATTCTTCTTCACCGTGATACACCCACCGTACATATGACGTATCAATTCCTTTAGTTATCAAATGTGCTCTGATGACATCAATAGAATGACTCCTTGAATTAAGGCAATTACGGCAAGGACATGTTGTCAATCCCTTACGATCTAAACTCTGTTTAGCAACATTTATGAATTCTTTGATGCCAGCCACATATGCCGGAGCGATCCGATTTGAAGACTTCACCCAATCACGGTTCATATCATGAGTATTCTACTAATGATAGCAAAAACATGGAAACAAAAACATATACAAACACTGGCTTAGAGAAACATTCCATTTAGTTAGGTTAGATGTTGACAATTTATATGTCTTTTGAACTTAAAACGTGAAACTAGTAAAACCATACTTGTTAACCTTTGGATTGAAGGGAGATCTGATTCGTTTGTTTCTCGAACCTGCAAAACATATAAAGAAAATAATGTAGAAGCAACTAATACTGAAGAAAGTATATTTAAAGTCTCAAAGTCATCTATTTAAAGTCTCAAAGTCAACTAATACCTTATTACTTAGTGAAATAAGAATGGAATAAACTGAAAATTAACTAATCAATAAACTGAAAGGAATAAACTAAAAATTAACTAATCAATAAACTGAAAGGAATAAACTAAAAATTAACTAATCAATAAACTGAAAGGATAAACTAAAAATTAATTAATCAATAAACTGATAGGAATAAATTGGAATAAACTAAAAATTAATTAATCACAGCAAGACGCTTCTCAAAAGCCAACCTGAGTTTGAGCGCTCACCTACGCTTTGTCACTTTTGACCACTTTTAACAAGTTTGATCAATGTGTAACAATAAATTATGGTTCAGGAGGTATCTTTTGCTTTTGAAAATACATGTAGCAACAGTATTTTATTACTTCTAAGAAAATAGACACGAATGTTAAAAAGTGGAGTAGCGATATCTAATTAAATTGACAGCAATATATCATAATACATGCACAAACAGTTTTCAAATATCGTACTAATACATAAAAAACACGCTCAATAAAAGATAAATTAACAATTGCATTACTACTATAGCAGTTCTACAACCTGGGAACAGTTTCAATTCTCATCATTCGTCCCCTATTATCACTATAGTACCTCTTTATGCTCACTTTATATCAAAGTTCAATATGTAAGACCTAACATACCCCAAAAGAAGAAGATAAATGGGATGAAAAGCCTCTTTTAAGTGCAGCAGCAGGAAGAGACAAAACCTGAAACTTCCGAACCATAAAAAAGGTTATGTGGTTGGACTTAGACCATATATTTCAGAAGGAGCAATTATAGAAGAATTGACAATGATTTTTATCAGTATTACATATCAATATAATATCAGTATATATATCAACATAGCAATCAATATGAACCTAATAATTTTTAAATATCATTTTAAGAATTGACCTGAAATAGTAAACAACTAAAAAATGCCTTTAGTGCTGTCTCAGACAACTTATCAGAATGACTGAATCATTCAATCTAAATGTCTGCCGTCTGTTCTAGAGTTTAGACTAAAGAGAATGAGAGAACTCAGAAACACGAGACTCACAGAGACAGAGTTCATATGCTTCGGAGTTCACACAAAACTCACAATCGGAATTGCCAAAGGCCGACAGACAACAACGACTTAGGAGCAGGAAGTGGCGGAAAGGCTGTACAGTCTGTACAGATTTTTCAAACCACGATTCTTTTAGCCAACATATGATGCTATCCACTTTAGAAGTCCGTTGGACTCAGCTCCATTAGCACATTGGATTTTTTTTTGGAATAAATTAAAGTGTCACTTTTAGAGCGAGGATTGTAATATAAAATAGCACTAAGCTACTCGACTTGGTTAACACAAAATTTCCTGAAATCCAACCCTTTAGAGTGAAGTGATAAGTTTCTCGTAGAGAAACAGACAATGATAATGAACCTTCATTTGCATGCTTGATTGAGAAATTCAATTGGGTATTAAACTAATGATTACAACAGGCTAGCAGGACCGTGTTTTTTTCTCATAAAAATTAAGCTAGAAGGGTGTGCCTGAAGTTAAAGTCTTATTGCAGATTTGCAGGTGCTGCAATTGTAACAAACTAACAGCAGGTCCTAGTAAGCAATAAAGGGTTAGAGAAGGTGAAATTATAGAAGATACATTGCTGACGGGGGCAGACAGGGGCGGAACCAGAAACATATTTGAAGGGGTTGGATCGAATTTCATAAGAGACCGTCTTGCCTATTGCTTTCCTTCGTCACCAAAAGACCTACTATTCCGGATTACAAATTGTGATATAGTATAGGTAACCTAACAAATTAAAAAATTATAAATCATAAATTTCAGATTATAAAATTATAAAATGTAAATGTACATATGACACATATTTTTTTTAATAATATAATAGTCTTTTTTATTTACTTAGGTTATTTAAACTAGTAAAACAATTAAAATTAATATACAATATACATATTATTGGGAAAAAATCAAAACGGGGAAGTTAAATATGAAGTAACTAAATCAAGAGATAAACCCAATTGCTAAATTGGTAAAAGCATAAACGAAATCAAGAACTCAATAAAATTTAGTTTATACTTCCTGATCCACTAAATCGGAGCATAGGCCGTTGTATAGCACAACACACCAATTCAATGAAATTAACTTAGTCAACAAACCTAAAATATTAAAAAAAGATACCTCCTAACTCCTAAGTCGTTTCCTTCCGCAGCACTCTCCTACGACCTGCAGCCTTCTCGTTCAACTCCTTACCGACGTTGAAGCGCACACTACTCCCCAAGTCGGCTAGTCCCCTGCGGCTTGCTCGCTTTCCCCCAATGCTTTGAAATTAAGTCATACGGAGTAACAATTACAGCCAAACCCGTCCATTTACCCTCATAAATTTGATTGTTGGACGACAGAGATCAATGGTATGAACTGAACCAAGTAGTATGAACTGAACTAAGAAATCAAATAAACAATGAGTGAAGTAGCAAAATAATTACCCCTGCTTCGATTCCAATGAGAGAAGATCTCAAAAGCTTCTCTGATCTGTGCGATTTGTCTTCCTCAGCCAATTAGAGAAGATTCCTCAGAGTTACGGAAGAAAATCGGAAGAGCATCGATATGTTAGGCTTTTGGCGGCAGTAAGGGTTTCACAGGGGAGGACGCTATAATGTGAGCGTGAGGTCTTAATGGGTGGTTGACGTGTATTTTAGTTAGTTTTTCCTTCATTTTAAGAAAAAAAGATTATTCACTTTCAATTTTTCTACACTTATAAAATACATATTATTTATGTGTTGGTAATTAAAACAATATTACCTACACATTACTAATTCTGTGGGTAATTGAACACCTGAAAAAACCCACGTAGCTTAACACGTCATCTAAAAAATGCCGCTGGAATGAAAAAAGGGGGGGAAGATTCCCGCTAAATTTAAATGTAGGAGAAACTTTTTACCCACACATATTATATGTGTTTAATTCATTTTTTATACGTTCACTAATTACCCACACATAGTGAAATTATGTGTAATTACATACCCACACATAATATGTGTAGTTATTTTATGTGTGGGTAATACATCTAATTTCTTGTAGTGACTCTAGAGATTGTTTTGCATGACATCGAGGTACAACTTATACGTTCTAACAAACTATATGTTACATGATAAAACGTTTGTTGCTAACATTTGAATGTGTAAAATAGGGTGATCGGATTCACGCAATAATCAAGAGACCACAGATTGCATAACATCTATGCTCTAAGAATTTTTTTAGTTCTAGACAATTACCAAACGGTAAAGACCACAAATCATCCCTACCTGATTCAGTTCATCTCTAAAGCCCAATTCAGGGAAGACACGAAGACAGGGCTGTCTATGATGGTCTACGATTTCCAAGCTTTTGATATGATGCACGCCCAAAGGGTTACCAATGACAAAACTCTCATCAGTGATTAAAATCAGATTATAGACCTAACTAAATAACTTAAGCAATTGTGTTAACAGCAGTTTCCATCCCACTGTTTCAGATATCATTAGGAAGGTTATCAGCAAAAGTATCGTTCAAACCCATATCATCAATGGGAAAACTGAAAGGCTGATGCAACTAACTGTGGCAGACCCAGAGTGGTTTTTTTCATTTAAAATAGTTATGGGTACGAGAATAATTTCTTATGCTAATGGCCAAAAACTTCTTAAACGACAGGGGTAAGATACTGGGGTGTGTCTTATGGACTAAAAGCCCTTCCACCAAACCTGCCTACCTCTCTCTTGTGCTCCACTCTCGTTCATCAGCCTGTGACCACCATCTCTCTCCACGAAAAGTGCGTTATGTGTGTTTTCTCTTACTAAAAATATGTAGCACTATATGGCTAAAGTACGAGTATCGTCTCCGCAAGAGCGGAAAAAGAAAATAAGTAATTAAATAAATTATGCGATTAAAATAAATAAAAATAAATGTAATGGTGCGAGATTTGGATTTTTGCAAAATTAAAATTCGAATAAGCAGCTAAATTAATAGGCTCTTTTTAATTAATGACAAAAGGGAACGAGGGTTGATTCTGGGGTAATCAGATTTCATGAATGATCAGGCTTAATCACATGAAAATTATTAACTGAGCAACGCTGATGAATGTTAAGTTCTTACCGCTCTTGCGACGTAGACTACAATAATTTAGGGAACCAGACTGATCTCTCATGCGACAAGTTCCTAAATTATTGCCAAAACGAATGAGCATACGGCTGCCTAATCATTATTAATCTCATTCGACAGTGTCCAATAATAAATTAGACCTCTCTTAATTTATTCTATGTGCAATTATAATTCTAGCTGCAATTCTATGTTACAAAACATATCAATTAAATTATTCAAACACAAATTAAATAAAGATCATGCAATTAAACCATCAAGAGTTAACCCTATATCATAATTAACCCCTTCATCAATCTCAAATCCCTAATTAAAGTGGCATAATAGTTGTGGGACCAAAAGTGGATTTTTTTCGTTTATTAATATTTATTTTTGGGTTCCTTTGAAAATTCATGATTTTTTTTTATTTGTAACTAATTTTTAAATGATTTGTTTTCCTTTCAAAAAATTAATAATTTTAGTACATTATGCCATGATTTAATTCCCAAATTTATTCATAGACGTAAACATTTGGATATTAGATGTACTGATGTACATGTCAAATAATGAAATCCCCTCATGCAATGTATGATTTCTCAATTGATTGTTTTCATTTCTTGACATAATCGTCATGCTCATACTCTTCATTCATGTATTTGTTCAAAGCCAATGTGAGTTTTCTCACTATTACAATAAAGAGAAAATCACACATGCATTTTATCTCCCAAGTAGTACCGATATTGAAATGTAATTCCCTTGTTTTCAAGTGTGTAAATGTAACCCTTCAATTGTCTGAATGGGTGTAAATGTAGTCTTCGTCCACACTGTAAATTTCACTTTCAATGGACCACATTTACAGCAATTTGAACATTTGGGGGCGTCGTTAACAAACATGAAAATACAGGCATCTATACTATTTGAGAGACTAAAAATTCGATTTTCCCTAAAATAGTTGTAGCAATATAATCTTTTTCCTCAATGTTGCTTATTTGTTTTTTAGAGATGATGAGACGAAGGCGGGATAGTACCTTTTCAAAGGGCATTTTTTCATTGTCGCCCATGTTTCTATACTCCCCGAGGGAAGATAGAATAGTGAATCCTTCGCGGTGTCCTTGAGAGAAAATGAAAAAGCCCTCAGTTTGATTTTATTTTCCGTGACACCATTTAGGCACATGCTTGTGCAAATAATATGGAATTCTGACAAGTGTTTGTTCAGATTTCACCCCTTAGCCCATGAAAAGATGGGAGTAGATAAATGAGCCCCGATTGAGCTCAAATGTAACACCCGCATCAGCCATCAAGAGTTGGGAAGGTGATACATAGCAGTTGTTGGTTGAAGTTTTGAGTTGTGAGCTCCCTCAATATTCTTGTTTCTAGATTCATTTGGATGAGCTCTTCGGATTTGCTAGAGTGAGAGCAAGCGTTTGATGATTCCTTCGAGGTGGTGTTTGAAAATAAAATTTTCAACCTCTCAAAGGCTTGTTCTATTTCTGGATTTGACTGGTAGATGATCTCGTTTATAGAGCGAGTTTTTACCATATACTCATTTAAGCCCAGAAAATAGAAAAGTAAAAACTCGTTATACTTTTTGAATTTTCCGAATTATAAGAAAAATGATTGTCTTTCTCCGGCAACAATGTCAAATTTGACGGCAATAAAGTCGTTGTGTGCCTCTAACTAATATTCAATACTTGCACTAGTACTGTAGTATAACGTATTAAGGATCGTATCCAAAGTGAAAAAAAATATCTTTCTTTTATGAAAATGTAACAAGGGGGGTTTCAGGAATGATTTGAACTTAAAAGTATTTAAACACTAAGATGAACGTGTTATATGGTTTAAATTAATAGAGATGAAGACTTGGTTTTGCGTATATCCACTTAATGAAATGTTCATTGATCCTGATTATATCTTTAACCATCTTCCTTTTGAATACTCAGACGTGGAGTATTTCCAATTCATCGAGGATAGTTATTAGTAATAAAATGCATTCATTAACAAAACTTACTATCAAGCCAATATAGAACACGCGCCTTATATTAACCTGATAAGAGCAATAAAACTTAAGATGAAATCGACTTAGATTGACACGTGCCTTAACACAAGTGATTTATTGGTTTAATCAATATAATTAATCTCCCTTAGATTATTATCCATGAGACGCATGCATTAATAATCTAAGTTTACTACCGTTGAAAGGATCGAGTACATAACAAGCGTATTCGTCGATCGATTCTAGTACAGAGTAATAATTAATACTCCGTATATGAAATAAAACTAGTTGATCCTTTAAGTAATGCTCAAATGTTAATATGAGATATAAAATAGAAATGTAATTAATATTCAAAGAAGATGATTAAATAAAATAACTGACATCTTACAAAGCACAAGCTTCAATATAGCAAAACCAAGATGGAAGAGTTTAGCTCCTCATTTGGAGAGTAATCATACTAGAAAAATATAAACAAAGTACTTGACTAAACTGAGCTTAGAAGTATACGAGAATTGATGATTAAGTGGGAAGGAAATAGGGTGTATTTATAGGTGTTTGGAGGTGGCAGAGTCAGATATACCCGATCGGGCATATAGGATTCCCAATCGGGTATCCTTAGTAATTTCCCGGAACCTTCATATATGACATCATACCTGATCGGGTATGTCGGTTTACCCCGATCAGGTATAAGACAAATCTTGCTAAACCTTCATCCTGCACGTTAATAGCCTCCCAAACCAGATTTGATTCTCAGGTCAAGTCCAAAACCGATCGGGTATATGTTATACGTGACTAGGTATATGACTTATTTTCCAAATCTTCACTTTATTTTGTCTTGCACTTTCATCGGCCTTCCAGGGATTCTTTTGATGATCTTTACATGGTTTAAAGTCAGATAAATTAATCCTAATCTAAACAAATTACAAATAACTTGGAAAAACAAAGTATTACATCAAAAGTGTGTAACTTCCCAAATAACAACAAATTAAACTAGTTAAATTTACAAACATAAACAATAACAATTTTATACTATCAAGTTGGGGTTATTATTTTCAATTTTTCCCTTTTTAAATGAAAAGTTCTTAGAATAGTAGCTCTCTTGTCCTAGGGTTTGGGATTGGCGGTGCACCTCTTTCGTCACCGATAACATGTTATCAATAAGTTGGCTAAAGTGTCAAATAGGTTCATGTCCAATTCACACTCTGAACATGCAAAAAAAGTTCAAATTTAAAATTTTACGGGTGAACACTATACCGGTCGCTGCCACGTCACCGGTTAACCAATGGCATGGGAATGAAAGGTTCAAATAGATCCCTGAACCCATCACACTTGTTCAAATCACCCCTTAAACTATTAAAAACTACCAAAATTGTAATCAATCCAAAAAATTAGAACCAACCAAAACTTAAAAATGAAATATTTAAATATAAAAGTTTAAAGATTTAAATAAGAAACATAAGTCTAATTTTACAATTTATATTCATGCTTTATATCCATGTTTTTACATTAATATTTTATTTCAGGTTTCACTTTTATTTTAATTTATCATT